GAAAGTTAGTCTGCTAGTCACATATACCTCTAAATTAGGTTTGGCAGGGAACGTTATATTTGATTTCCCGGCAATCAGCAGATATAGGCTAATCACTTTGAGTAACTTAATATATCCAATCTACGACCTTACAGTTATATTCACAACAGAGAAATGGGAGCCAAGATCGCCTTATTCAAAATCAGTAATATAGCTATTAGTCTTTGACTGCTGAATACAATCGTACCAATATCGTCGCTGAATGCCAACAGTTGCGCACTTTTGAGACGCTTCTCAATACCGACGGAACTTTAGGTGTTGTTTACCATCAATCTGTACAGGCGTATAAATTTTATAGAGATCCCTAATGCAGTCACAGAGACAAATCTATGTTTGAATCAACGAACAGGTGGAGCTCTTCGAACCTTTCCCAGAAGGCTTATCAATGCCGAGGAGGTTTCATTCTTTCACATAAGATCTCAGACTGGACTGTGGGATCAGACTGTAAGGTCCCGTTGGTCTTGCCTTCAACTAAAAGTATGCCGCACAGAACTTGAAAGTTTTTTACCATAATTCTTGAATAGCTTAACCGATGTGCTATCGGCTTTTGTCGATTTAATGCTCTTCAGGCGGTTAATTGCTTTAAGACTTCAACTGTGTTAGTATGGAGCCCACCTTTGTCATTGACTTGAGAGTTTAGGTTTGTCATCTTCTTTTTTTTTATTATTTCAATGCAATTAAGTCAGCTGGGAAGAGGTTCCCTCCATAAACGTAGTCTGCTAGATCAACTTTTTCGAGTCTTACATGAGTACTTTCCATTTTGGCAGTCATCTTTAAGTCAGCGTTGACCAGTTTCTGCCACTAACACATTTCGGCCTCTTCTTTTTCCCTCTGCAAATGTGACTCACTTTTCTCCTTCACTCCCGATATCTTTTCCATGCCGTTCATGACATGGTCTATCAGAACTTTGCATGAAAGCGGTTCTCTCCCGCTCTGCTGCAGCACAGCATTCGGCTTCATCTCAATCATCAAATGGGGAATACTTAGAAAATCCATTAACGTATTATTGGATTATCAAAATACTCTAAAAATATTAAACTCAAGTAACCCATCAGTATATTGAGAGTAGAAAAGACGCAACTGTCAAAAAAATTTAGCGTACAAATCCAAAAAGCAGCTCAACTAATTTTCAAATGCACTTAACAATTTTGCTTCTACCATATTCAACGTCAATTAGTGCAAAGAATTATTTTCGCAAGGAATTCACTAAAAATCACAAGCAAATTCATTTTATTTGAACTTTCATATACATATAAACACATACATACATATGTCCCATAGTTAAGATGTTAATAAAAAAAAGGCGAAGTCTACATGCCTTAAAATCTACATTCTCCATTTTCATTTACCACCAACAACTGAAAGTAATTAAAAAATCTACTCTTAGCTTTGGTCAATAAAAGCGTCACTTGGGGTTTTTCAATGGACGTCAACCGTTGCACAGCACGAAAAGCATACAAACCAACAAACTAGCAAAAACTAGCCAACAAAATAAATACTTTCTTATTTAAATTATTTAGATATATGAATGCAGTTTCACACTAAAATTGAGTCAGTGCAATTGAAGTAGTTAGAAGCGATTGCTCAAAGCTCATGACAGCGTAAAAGCTCCAATTCACTGAAGCTTCAATGAAGTAACTAACCGACAAGGGGACAGACCGACAAAAAAATTACTAAGCAAAACATACAAAAAGGGATTAACAAATGACTGTGGCTAAAGAACATCAATTAAATTTAAGTAGCTGCAGAAGAAGAGTTGCCAAATAGCTTTTATGTGGAAAAACTGTGCAAAAAGCAAATCAACACCAATACTGAGAAGTGGTTGATAGGTTGATTAGTGGATTACTGATCATTTTGGTTCGACTAATTTTCAAGGGAATTTGGCAAGAATTCATATGCTGATTAAATTATAAAACTTCTTTTATATAAAAATAATGCGATGGAATAAATGGCGCATTGGTCGACCGTGAAGAATAGTAATTGCACGCCTGAAGAACAACAATGCGGTTTAGAGACTGAACTATTCAAATAAATATGTCGGACCCCATAGTTTGTGTCGATTACGCTTGGATAAGCCTCAAAAGTCGAGTTCTGTCTTCTCTACAGTGAATAAGGAATTAACGAAATTGAGTCTGGTTGGTAAATGAGAACAAAATGATGTATCTACTGTCATCAAACCAACAGTTAAGGCTTTCGCTGTTCATAACTTAGATGTTTAGTGAATTTCCGACAAAAATTCCAAAGCCGAATTAATATCACAAACAGGAATTAGATAGGCTATTGAAAAGTTAAGTTCGTTGAGAGGACGAACAAAGATCAACATATACAATTCGCTCATTACAGACGAATCAAAAATACACTGAATGAGATGTACGACATTGACATGGCTTGGCGATGTTGTCCGATAATGGATCCATAGGATTGCCACATTATGAAAATTAATTTTATGTTAAAGAAAAGGACAGAATTTCAGAACTTAGGGTTGCCATTAACTTTTTAGTTATTTAATAATTTTTATAAAATATTTTCTTTATATTTTTTACGGTATAGGAACCGTTTACGTGATAATAACAGAGTTAGCAACCTCATGCCTCATTCCTTCATTATTTTCGCTGTTTCATTTCAAGTCCATAACCATCTTATCTTACCAATGGAGAAAAGGCTTTACTTTTCCTCTGCTTCCAATGGCACTATTTATCAGGAAGGAAAAGATAAGTTTCTTGTAACTTTTGGTCTTCGTTCGTCGGGAGAGGACTTTACATTTCAAGTATCTGTTCAGTCCAAAGTTGAAATTGCTTGTGAGACTGATTCTACGTCGGATTTCAAAGCTCAAATTATTTTTGGTAATACTGACTTCTTTTTACAATGAATTGTTCTACAATTCAAAGCTGTTAACAATGACCTGAGAGCAGAACCGCGAATACGTTGACTCTTTGATGGATGATAGGACATATTTTGATTTTTCCTCGTTCATTTCCAGACCTATACTCCTAGTTTTCGTATCCAGTCAGTCGGAAACGGTTTAAGGTATGACTATTGTGGTCAATGTTATTCAATACACTAACCCTTATTTTGTTCTCCAGAAATAGATTAAATAAGTAGTATGATAAGTAGTCACGTAGTTTGAACCGTTGTACGATATATAACGGTTCTAAGAGTTCCTTCCCGATTCCAATTGCGCTTTGGTGTTGCTTAGCATAATATAATTGCAATTTGTCAGCTCTCTTGCCTCTTTGTTGTTCTTTGAGTAGGCAATTGCTCTTCGAACTTTATTATAGTCTGTTATTGAATCGTCCATCCTACCCGATGGGGGTTTCGGGTTCGCTTTCTCCAGGTGTTTTACTTTTACCGCAGTTAAACAGGTTGCAGAAGTGGTCCCTCTATGAATTTAATATATCCGAAATGTCATAAGAACCTCTTCCGCGTTCCTACAGGAAACTCATTTTCGAAAATATGTACCAATATGAGTCTCTGTGGACCCAACTATGTCGCAGAAGAGCGTGCCTAAGTGGTACAGATACTTCAAATAGTATCGTGCTTAAGGTAAGGCAAAACCGAAAAAATCTCGTCAAAGTCGCTCAAAAATCAAAGTCATGTTAACTGTTTTCTCTGATTTTCACAGTATGTTGCACTATGAATTCCTTCCGCCCGGTCAAACGGAAAATAAGGAATTATATTTAAGCGTTATTCGTCATTTGCGTGAAGCAATTCGCAAAAACAGACCGGAATTATGGGACAACAATTGGTTTTTGCATCACAATAATGCAGCGTCGCACACAGCACTCATTCCTCGTGACCATTTCGCTAAAAATTTCATGAATAACGTTCCGCAACCACCGTCTTCTCCGGACTTAGCACCATGTGACTTCTGACTCTTCCACAAACTCAAGAGACCACTTCGGAGACACCATTTTGAGCAGATGGAGGAGCTTAAACGTGAATCGGCGCGCTCTCTGAGGGCCATACCAGAACGTGACTATTTGACATGCTTCGATATTGGAAAAAGCCTTCACGTAAGGGCATTTCATCCGCAGCGGACTATTTTGAATACGACGAAATCGATGTGGAAGAATAAAAAAGTTTTTTAATTTTACAAACGCATTCACTTTACTTTTTGCCCACGACAGCAAACTACAGGGTTTTCCAAATAGAAATTTTGATTTGATATTCAATGAAACTTTTCCTCTAAAAACTCGATGGTTTTGTTGATTTTGTTGCACGTACCACCGTCTTGGTCACCATTCTTTCAATTTCGGCTATAAAAAAAACATTTATCATCACTCGATAAAACAATCCATTCATTTTCGAAAAAGCTGGGTCTAACGAACACGCCGGACCACAAGTCGTAACAAACAGTTACATATAGCGGATGGAGGATTTGGAGCTCCAAATGCGATAGTTTTACTTATCGACGTAGCCATCGAGATGGAAATGAGTCTCGTCTGTCAAGATTATTTTTCGATGAAATTTTTTTAAATTGCATTTCAATAATTTCAATCAGTTGTTGAAGCGTTTATGGTTAAATTTTTTTTTTTACTTTTGTCGTATTTACTTGTTAAGTGTCAAACAATTACAGCTTCAAATGGGATACCTACCGGAATAGCTATTCAAAATATCACCTCTTTTATTGGAAAACCTTATAAAATTGGCGCTTTGTAACCGAGCCTTCCGAATGGCAACACGAAACACTAACCACTGCGGCCGCCGATCTCAATATATAATCCAGTAAAGTATACTTTACTCAGACTCAGAAAAATAGCTCGAGAAATGTACAAAGAATAAATCTTTAAGTATTCAATGCATAAGTAAATATAATACATATATATTGATATATGTATATAATATTATATAATATGAAAGGCTAAAAATAGTTAAATTATTTTATAAGTTAAAATATTTAATTAATTTTGTGAAAATATAGGACAAACAGATTTTCTCTAATTATATCTTTTTCCTTGCAGTTCCACCCATGATTTGGATACAAAATCAATTAGTCGGTGCAGCTACAGGACAAAATATTACACTCGAATGTCAGTCGGAGGCATATCCGAAGTCTATTAATTATTGGACGAAGAATGACACCATCATTGTGCCGGGTAAGTTAGAAATTAAAACAACAAATTGTAAATATAGTAAATGGACTTATGTAAGGGATGGGAAAAATCATGCAAAATATTTTTTTAATTAATTATTGATTAATATGGCATTATGTATATGTATATATATTTAAAAATGTATGATAAAGGCCAACAATATTTTGCGTGTTTTTTACAATTAATGTTGCTTTTCTTATACTTGAGATTTTTGTATTAAAATTTCCGTTGAGTTGAGTTGATTCGGCTGGTCAAAACCCCAGCACACTTAGGCCAATAGACCCATTGTTATACCGCTGGGGCTTCTGTCTTCACCTTCTCAGATGAACGAACCATTTCATGTGCCTTATATAGGCAATGAGATTTTCAATGCTCACTGAGCCCAACCTAACGAAACAGACGAAGATGTCTTTCGCAAGAAACTTGTGTCTCGCGGATATCAAGGCTGGACAGTGGCAGAGGTAGTGCTCGATGGTTTCTTTCGCTCCTTTGACCCTACAGCCGCGGCAGAATCGTTAGAGTAAAAGCCCATCCTAATCCCGTGAAGCCCCATTAAACAGTGTCCAGTTATTATACTCGTCCCTATGCTAATGGAGAACCGGTCCAGAAGGATAAGATGTTTAGATTTTTCCTCGTACAACTTCGGCCATAGCTGTCTGTCCACGTTACACGTGAGCTCATTCAACCATCGTGGGTCGGCTTCCCTGGTAAATGCCAGTTTAAGCATGTATTAAGCCGTGGGTAGAGATAAACCAGCATCATGTGCGTGTTTTATCGTATATATATCGGGTTGCTTTCCTTGCGAGTTCGTCTGTCATACCATTGCCTGGGATGTTCCTGTAAAATTTCCATTAAGTTGAGTACTCTTTAAAATTTTTAGTTTAACAAAATAACCACTCTTTCTCTTAAAAGCCGAAACCAAAGCCACTTAGTATACAGTCGATGCTTTTACGAGCAGTCGTCTTTTTCACAAACACATACAAACAAATACCAATATATACTTTATACGTATATATATTTAACTATAGAAACAGAAAGTGAGTGCAACGGACGTTTAATTAACATTTTGTCAGCCATTTTACAAAACCACAATTCGACATACGGACAACGTCACTCATCCACCCACACACACACTCCCACACACACACACATCTACAAACAGGGAGAGATAGTCATTGCTTTAAAATCTGGTAAATATGCATACAAATGCACGTACCACTCGTAGCTGCAGTGAAAGTCTATGCGGAGAAACGAAAAGTCACAAAAAGCGACACGTACAGAATGAACGGATGGACGAACGGACGAATGAATGAATAAATGAGAAATATACGTGCGCCATGAAAGAAGAAACCGAAGCAGTAAACTCAAGGGGCGACCGGTGGTAAAGCGTAAGTATAGTGGAGACAGTCAATCAGTGAGCGATGCAATTGTTTAAAAGGATCCACTCAAATCGTAAAAGCATCACCACTGACGGGCTTCATATACATTGCTCATTGCAAGCGAGAAGTTTCTTTTACAAAAAAAAAAAAACAAAAAAAACACTCGTACACAAAATGATCAAAAGGAGTAGAGATGTGAAAAATACATGAAATTGAAGAAATAAAAAAATAAAAAAAAAAACATATATAAATGCAAAGGAAAATGGCAAAAACCGAAAGTGGTCGAATGCAAAATAAAAGACTTTTTACAGCGAGTAAATGATTGCAGTTAACTCTTCTGCGCACAAAGTGACAGAGAAATGATAAAAAAAAATGCTGAACGGGATTCATGTAAATGAAAGGTTTGCACATTAACTGGATTACATTGGTACGACATTAAAGACAAGTAGGAACACCATTAAACACTTTACGCCGTGGATTACACCGCTTCTTTGAAGAAAGCAAAACTTTAATGAATTTTCAAAAATTGGCTTCAACTTATCCACACCCCACCATAAGCATTCCCAAATGTCTTGAGGCTGAGCGTATTGACCGTGACACAAAATATATTTGTCTGTAGTAAAAGCACAAGAATATTCACCAGGTTACTTGTCTATCTCCAATTCGAAAAACTCACAATGGAATCGATCACTTTATAAAAGACGGACGACAATAATCTGTTGTCCTAAATGGGCGTACTCTCCTAAGACAACTAACATGTCGCAGTGAAAACAACAGCCGCCATCTATAAGGCTAAGAATTCCATCAAAGAGCACAAGGATGGTTCGACGTTGAAGAGTTGCTATCACAAAAGACTGCCGAACGGGTTTCTGCTCGACTTACACTCCTGCTATCTGAGAGCACTAATAACTTATACCGAGTTGCTATGATTGAGGTATGCAAACGAAACTGTTTCGGAAAGATCGCAGCTGGTGCGATGAGGACTGCCGTGTCGCAGGGGAGAGAAAGCAGGGTGCTTGCTTCGCAACGTTGCGATCGACCACCATATGTGCGGGATGGGATAAATATCGATATCTGAGGGAAAAGAAAGAGGCATATGAGACAAAAACTCACAAATGTAGAAATATGAAGTGGTTGAGAACTGTCTGTTATGAGCAATGTTCGAAAATTCTACGAATAGATCCACCTACGTATAATTATATTTAAATATTGGAGTAATTTCTTCTACAACCTACGAGGTGTGACAATTAAGTAATGTGACTGATTATACTGCCGCGATTGGATATTCCCTTTACCTTCTCCCGGTATTCTTCTCCTCTCCATTGATATATTTGCCATCGATCTAGCTTAGTTAGTTAGTTCGCCTGTTGTGTCGTGTTGAGTAAACGTGTGTTCGTTTTTCGTGTCACGAAAATGGTATATATGTTTTGTTCCCTAGAACGAAATTGGCGGTCAAAGGAGTTCATTTAGAGTCGATTGAGCAGATTCAGTGTACTCGCGGACAGTCCAAGCATTCCATAAATGTTAAAAAGCCTGGGAAACGCGTTGGAATTCTTGTATAGCTGTCCAAGTGATTACTTGGAAGGGGATTGCAGAATTGTGGAATAATTTTGAAATATACGGTTTTTATGGAATCAGTCCCATTATCTGATTGTCATACCTCTTAGAGAAGTGATCTAGCGACTGGTGCCTAGAGTATACGGATATTACGGAGAGAACATTTCTTCAGCCTGCTGATTGGTAATGGAATTGAAACGCCAGGAGATAGCGAATCGACGACAATGGAATAGATTTTTCGTTGTTCAACTATGAAGATATTTGAATAGCAATAGCTCGCTTGGCAAGCAACAAAGCGGAGAGGGTCGATGGCTTGCCGGCCGACCTATTTAGATACAGCGGCGGAAAAGGAGAATGTATCATCTTCTTTGCAAAATATGTTCGAATGCAAGTATGCCCGATGATTGGAATCTAATTGTTCACAAAGAAGGCAATCTCACAGTCGACGCAAATAATAATGGGAAAATTTTCCATAATATAACATATAACATCCTGTAAAATCTACTGATTGGACATTTTCATTTTCTTCGCATGTCTTGAAAGGAGGATCGACACACAGAACTTCATTGTTGATATTAAAGCAGCAGGTAAAGCAGCTGCCTCTGCACCGACCTGTTTAATACCAAACGAGGTTTCAGACAAATACAGTAGAATTGAAAAATTTCTGTCCTTACAAATTTGAGTTAATTATCACAAAGCTCATAAGACAATATACATATTGAGCATCAAAAAAAAAATCTTTTTCTCATTAACTTCTGGAGCAACTGATCTAAATGGCTTCACACTCGACCGTCATTGCGCAATACTCATATGTCAAATATATTATTAGAGAAAGCGAATTGATCTACGGGTCACTGTTAACTTTATTTTTTCGTCATCCTCCGACGTCAACATGTCACTGTTACATATATTACTCACGGACACGCTTACTGTGATGAACATATTTACTATGCAGGATATGTAAATCCTTTAAAGTTTACGAATATTCTGAGAAAAGTGAACAATTTGCATACTCAGCATTTTCAATCAACATGATATTTTTAGTATTTCATGGAAAAAGACTTCAGACAGAAATAGTTTTTCATGCAAAGTGCCATGCAACTCCCTGTTGATATGCAAAAGGGACGTGATTTGTTTGGGCATATGTACGAATGTACTCGTATACCTACACGTATATTTGTAAATACACAAATAAATTACAACGGCATATTGCATCAAATAAATATTGCTATACATTTTATATTTGTATACTTGTATATAGGTATATACATATATATATTCAAATGTAAAGTGTATAAAAGAACTGCCCAATTCAGATGGGGGCTCACTTCACAAATGGTAAGTCCCCAATGGTCACTAACAACTAACATACATATGTGACGTATTTTTAACCATACATACAAGCAACATACAAATAGTGCAGTTAAACTTGTCTCACATTTCAACTTTTGTATTCTTCTTCATTTTCGATCAACATAATTACGTACATATACATATCTGTCCTTTTAAATGGTCGTATCACACATAAATATATGCATATTTAAATCACATAGAGTACACCGTTGCATGTGCACTTTGAGCCACTCATTGTCGTAACTTTGAAGTCACATGCAAATATGGTTGACAAAAATTTCAAGAACTTAATGCATTTTTGTGGTTAAGTGACGCATACGAGTATGCATTTAAGCAAATACGAAATTCACTCAATCAGATTAAATGTATATGTAAGTATGTATGTGCACATGTATATATAAATATATGTACATATGTTTACACATGCCACTACACACATATACATAAATTCTGATGCAAATGTGAATTAATGAAAATACTATTTCATCCATTTTTCATATTTTATTTACAGCTCCCAAAATAAATTGCATTGCTCATGATTACTTTTACTTTAAATGAATATATTACAAATAAAATTACCACACCAATTACTCCCTTAAATACTATAAAATACTATAAATTAATAACAAATAAAACGAGTTAATTTAAATAATATGAAATAAAACAAAATACAAAAATAAATTCGTATTAAATAAAAAATTAAATTAAACTAAA